CCTCTTACTGTCAGATAATCAAACCTGATATATCTGAAAAATGTCTAAACACTCACTTATAAAAAGAGAGAAATTATAAGTTTTCATTTTACTGTAGGCGTTATTTCATTTTTACTTGTACACAATATATTCTGTGTTCTTTGTATCAGCTGGTTGTCCAGTTGTGTGGCTCCCTCTACTGTTAAAACAATGACACTACAGTCTAAAGTAATTGTACATCGAGTCTGTGGAGGCTGTGAGTACTCTATGGAAGCCCATTTCCACCTATGCAAGAGGAAATTTTTTTCTGTAAGTCATTATAATGAGAAACAAAAAAATGACTTAGTATCACAAAGTAATTTGTTAAAAGCTGGTAGCATAAAGGGAGCATGATTCAAGGTCTTAAGAGCTTCACCTAGTGGAAGGATTACAGTCATGGGAGAAATTCTGGTGGCTTTTGTAATTGCTATTAGACAGCAAAATACTTAAAGGATTTAATTTAATCGAAAGCATAAAATATGTATTGACCCATACTGATGGTAGACTGGTTACAAGGTCTGTGCTATATTACCTTGCTTGACTGTTTTCTAATTCAAGTAAAGTTTTATTTCACCAGAGTGGAGAGTTTTACCTGCAGCTTCTTTGTTGCTGGTAGAATGACTTGTTTCCCCAGAAAGTTACCCTACTGTTACATGTTTTTCTTGTTGTAAAGTAAATTACACAGTTACCCAGATGCAGCCACATGTTTATCACACATCCTAAAGGTGGGCTGGTTTCACGTCTACATCTTATATATGCTGTTACTGGTCTGCGCAGAGGAAGTGGTCGGCACACTGTGTCAAGTCAGTCATTTTCCATTCAGCAGTGAGACAGGATGAAGATCGCTGTGTTATTTCTCAGTCTTTGTAAGTAACAATGTCCTTTTTTTTACAATATATCTCGCAGGACGTCTTATCGGCTCAAACTCAACAGATATCAAACATTATCCTGATCTCTTATCTTTCTCTCTCTGCTGTCTGTGTGTTTGTCAGGTGTGTTTCATACACTTGCCTCATCTGATACCAGAAAAGAAGGTAATGAGCTCTTTATGTGCAAATACAACAACATGTAAAGATGGTGATGAGCTTGATGAGAGTCCTTCTGCAAAGTCTTCTGTTTGCTTGAGGTTCATTTATGATAAAAGTCTTCATTTGCCAACAATAGTTAAAGTCCAGATGAAACCGAAATCGTGAAACAGATGAGTGCTATTTGCTTCTGCAGGTTTCCTGTAAAAACAGGCAGTTAAAGAGGGAAAGGGGCCATACACAGCACTAATGGCAGCTACATTAGCAGTTAGCAGAGTTGAGGCAGAGCAGCCGGAGGAATTTGATCAAGTTTTCACTTAAATCACTGATAAATTTGTGCTTTTGTACAATAATCAGTGACATTCGGCCCCCAGAAACACTTCTCTCTGGTAGCGAACCATGGTTTTAGCTTGCTAGCAAACTAATGAATCTTGTCTTTGTCGTTTAAAGTTGGTTGACGGTTGAATATCATGATATTATTGGCTATGCATCACATTTTGTTTTACAGGAAGAAAAATCAAGTTTTTGTAGATTGTTTAGCATTCATTGTTAAATAGGGGTAACACAGAATTGTGTATGCAATCTTAAAGGGTTAAAAACTGTAATTTCCCCTGGCCTTTAAAGCAGCGACAAGGAATTTTGCCTTTGTGTTGATTTTGGGAGACCCTGTGGACAAAGCAGTAGGCGGTGTCTACTCCGTGGTGTCATTAATTTCAAGGGAAATCTGACCAAACTCAACCTTGTGGCAGGAATTAAGAATAACTATATAGAAATAGCCAATCTTGTCGCTGATGGTCTTGTTGGTTTATGTAGTTATATAGAAGCATCAGTATTAAATAAGACTCTTTCATAACCAGTTCCTCCAGTGGGTTTACTGTCTATCAGACACAATCAAATTCAGTGGCGTGCTGTTCGCATTAAATCACAGCTGCCATAACAAGCTGAGCATGTATATAATTTATCCCAAGAACGTATCTCTTGGTTTGGAGAGCTGGACCGGGTGCCTCTCCAATTAGGTTCTTGAGGTGCACTTACAAAACACTAAAAAGGGTTAATCCCATTGGTCGGGTGTCAACTGCAGCCATAACATCCTCCATCTTGTTTTGTTTTTTGCAGCCATTCTGAGAGTCCTTCCCAACAAATCCCAGTTCTTCCAGTACGGGACTGTCACTGTGAGCTGTGGGCAGCAGGGAGAGTGGAGGGTTAAGAAGAACACATCTCAAAGCATGAACCAAGATTGCTTCACATCCTGGGGTGGAATAAATGAATCCCTCTGTTTCACCAATGACCTTTACCCATCAGACAGTGGAGTGTACTGGTGTGAGTCTGCAGAAGGAGAGTGCAGAGATGCCGCCAACATCACTGTGACCAGTGAGTTTAAACAATAAAAACTGCTGTTGGAGAAAAAACCTTTCACTCTACATATCCTCCTGTGAGAGACAGGACACATACAGGGTTTTGATCACCATACTTGATACATCATACTGGCAAAAGATCTTGTAAATAATATTGATCTGTCCCTCAGGTGGCTCTGTGATCCTGGAGATTCCTGTTCTTCCTGTGATGGAGGGAGACAATGTGACTCTGCGCTGTATAAACAGGACTCCTTCGGCCTCCAATCTCACTGATTTCTACAAAGACGGGTTTCTGATCAGGAGCAGCTCTACAGGAAACATGACCATCCACAGTGTCTCTAAATCTGATGAAGGACTCCACAAGTGTAACATCTCTGGAGTTGGAGAATCACCAGACAGCTGGCTGACTGTCAGAGGTGAGATTATAATTTTCATCTGCTAACAGCTGCTTCATTTTCCCTCTGATGCCCCTGGATGATCTTGTTATACTGATGGGCAGTAAAACATCCACATTATATGATAGCACCGAAGATTCCCTCTCAGCACAGTATTTTGAATTTGGTTTGAGTGAACTGTTGGGTCCTGTACAAGTGTACATTTAAATTAACCTTATTTCAATATACAGAATTGAATAATTATCCAGCTATAAACTCACACAGTCATGAAAGATACAGTTTGATTCCTGATGTACTGCAGGAGAAGAGCTTGAATGATAAAGCTGTTTTGGGGGGGTTTGTGAGGGCTGTAACACAATCAAGAAGCAGAAGCAAAAAGTGGTCTCCCCCATATATTTAATTCGATTGCTTTTAAGTTGTACAATGAAATAAAACTCAATAATCTCCCTCCAGTGTCAGACTCTGCAGTTCCAATGCTTCCCGTGATGTCTGTGTCCAGACTGATATGTCACATAGTCGTAGGGACTCCTTTCCTGGTGTCCACCATTATACTGGGACTCAATATAGAGAGACAGAAGAGGGTGAGAGCTAACACTACTGATCCAGATGCATTGTACTTTCAGTTTTCTCTCTGTTTATTCATTCTTCCTTTTCTTCCTTCTTTCTTTATGTTCAACTCCTCGGCTTGTTGCAGACGACAGAAGACACAATGTCATCATGGAGGCTGAAATAGATGACAAAGACTGCGCCACAGATACTGAAACATTTATTGTTCATGTATGTCTGTGTTACATTTTTATTTGTGTATCTTTATAAAATGTCATGCTTGTTGAAATGAGTTTTTCTGTGGTGAATACAGATTAAATCAATGTTTTAACTTCTCAAGACTCGCTTATATTCCTTCTTTCTTTTTTAATCAGAGTTTTTACTTTATTATTGGGTGTTATTTCAGTTTTATGTCTTATATCAGATTTAAATTCTGTATCTCTGAGTATCTATGATGTTGTGTGACTCGCCTCTAGTGTTAAAGCATGTGCACTACAATCTAAGTCATGTAAATATTAGTCTGGGGAGGCTGTGCGAGATGATGGTGATGAACAATAGGCGGTTAGGGTTAGGAAATTGGAGACAATTGAGATCTCAGCGTTTGTTGGCATTTAGGTAGAGGTATAATTATATTTACTGACAGTCAGCCGGAGAGATGTAAATGGAGGTATACAGTGCACAGATTACCGAACAATCTGATTATTTTTTTTCTTACTACTCCAGACTAAGCCGCGATATATTGATGTGAAAAAAATGTAAGATGAATTGCTACATATGACTTGGTCTTTTCCAGAAAGTTAGCCGAGCTGTCGGTACACTATGTTTTTCTGACTAGTATAGGTGAAATTACACAATGACCGAGTAACACCATATTACACGTGGGCGTGGTTTCAGCACGTACGACAGGAGAAAGTGTCGACAGAACTGTGTATTAGGTCGGTCATCTTTTGTCCGGTTCAGGCAGTGAGGACAGGGTGATGAAGATCGCTGTGGTCATTGTGTCAGCATTTGTAAGAATATAAACAATGTGTTGCTTTTTGTGCTTTGACTCAGATCAGCTCAAACGCAACAATAGTCAGAATGGCATGTATCTGGATCCTTTTTATTGTCTCTCTGCTGTGTCTGTGTTTGTCAGGTGTATGTTTTGCAAACACTTGGCTTCATCTAGATACCAGAAAAGAAGGTAAGAGGCTGCTTTTATGTGCAGGAATACAACACCATGTAAAGATGTGGATGAGCTTGATGAGAGGTCCTTCTGCACGAAGGTCTTGCTGTTTTGGGTTGGAGGGTTCCCCCAATTTTTTTTTTTTTTTTTTTATGGGATTTTTTAAAACTCAAAAGGGTACAGTTGAAGCTGGCAGACAAAGAGAATTGTTTGCATTGTGTGTGATTCGTGTGCTGTAGTGTTTCTACGCCTATGTATTTTTCAAGGGAAGTCCGCCGAAACTCACCATATGGCAAGCAGTTAAGAATAACTAATATATAAATAGAATACTCTCGGCTGGAATGGTCATGTTGTTGTATGTTGAGTGTATATCGAGCACAAGTTATTGACGATTGAGGATTCTTTCAACAGTGTCTGCGGTTTTAACATTATCAATTCAGACGAACAGTGGCACTTAGAGGCCCACTTGACGAAAAGGTAGTCACTTTGGGTGGTTGTTCGACTGGCAGCCGTATCAGCCTCCATCTATTGTTTCTTGCAGCCGTTCTGAGAGTCCTTCCAAACCGATCCCAGTTCTTCCAGTACAAGACTGTGTCTCTGAGCTGTGGGCAGCAGGGAGAGTGGAGAGTTAAGAAGAACACATCAAAAAACATCAACCAAGAGTGTTTCACATCCAGGAATGGAATAAATGAATCCCTCTGCTCTATCGATGACCTTTACCCATCAGACAGTGGAGTGTACTGGTGTGAGTCTGCAGAAGGAGAGTGCAGAGATGCTGTCAACATCACTGTGACATGTGAGTTAAACAATAAAAACTGTTGTGTTGGTGAAACTGTGGACAAATAAGTTTTTTGATCACAATACAATCGTGTAAATGATCATGCTCTGTCCCTCAGGTGGCTCTGTCATCCTGGAGAGTCCTGTTCTTCCTTTGATGGAGGGAGACCATGTGACTCTGCATTGTATAAACAGAATGGACTCTGCCTCCAATCTCATGACTGATTTCTATAAAGACGGGTTTCTGATCAGGAGCAGCTCTACAGGAAACATGACCATCCACAGTGTCTCTAAATCTGATGAAGGACTCTACAAGTGTAACATCTCTGGAGTTGGAGAATCACCAGACAGCTGGCTGACTGTCAGAGGTGAGATTATAATTTTCATAAATAGGACCCTGGGAATATAGGAATTTGGGAACATAGGTCCTTTGGGACACAGAACTCTGGGAACATATGGCTCTGGGAATATAGGAGTCTAGAAACATAGGACTCTGGGAACATAGGACCTTGGGAACATATGGCTCTGAGAATATAGGACATTGGGGATATAGGACTCTTGGAACATTGGACTTTGGAAACGTAGCCTTCTGAGAACATAGGACTATAGGAACATAAGACTCTGGTAACATAGAACACTGGGAACATAGGACATTGGGAATATAGGCTTCTGGGAACATAGGACATTGGGAATATAGGCTTCTGGGAACATAGGACTCTAGGAACATAGGGCTCTGGAAACATAGAACTAGGGGAATGTAGGACTCTGTGAACATATGGCTTTCGCAACATAGAGCCTTGGGAACATAGGACTCTAGGAATATAAGACTCTGGGGAACATATGAATGCTGACTGTATTTTGAATTTGTTTTGAGTTGGAGTTTTGGATTCGAGGATACTATTGGGTCTAGTAAAAGATTACATTAAAATGATTCTGAATACAATTTACAGTCTATGGAAGGCCATTCATCACTAGTGCATTATAAAGTCACAAAGCTGCAAAAGATTTAGCCATTTTTTAGTTTATATCCTGGAATACTCCAAGAGCAAACATTAAATTGTGAAATATTAGCTCACTGTTTTGCTCCTTGCGTTCAATGTTTAAGTCGTACAATGAATTAAAACTCAATAATCTCCCTCCAGTGTCAGACTCAGCAGTTCCCGATGCTCCCGTGATGTCTCTGTCCAGACTGATATGTCACATACGTCGTCAGGGACTGCCTTTCCTCGCGTGTCCAACAATCATACTGGGACTCATATGCAGAGACAGAAGAGGTGAGAGCTAACACTACTGATCCAGATGCACTTGTACTTTCAGTTTTTGTCTGTTTTATTCATTCTTCTTCATGTTGCAGCTCCTCGGCTTGTTGCAGTGGACAGAAGACACGATGTCATCATGGAGGTGGAATAGAGATATTTAGTCTTATAAAGTTTTTGTATGTCTGAATTACATTTTATTTATTTGTTAATTATATCATATTATATATTTATTTCATGCTCACAAAAGAAGTTTTTCTGTGTGAATAAGTTGCA